CAGGCTGGGAAAATCCTCCTGGAAGTGCTAACTTCCCCTTCCCAGCACAAGCACTTCTCCTTTCGTGGCTTCTGGAAGTGAAAGAACCACAGGCTAACTGCTGGGAGGCATACCAGGGGAAAAACTGAGTCCAGAAGGTAAGGAGGCATGCTGTTGGGAGCAGGGCAGGAGCTGGGGAAGACACCTGGAAGAGGGAGGAGGGAGGAGCCCATATGGGCAGTCCCTCATCCTAACCTCCAAATGGGGAAGGGAGCTGGGGGCTAGGGAACGTCCTTTTCCAATAAATCAGGTAGCATCCTAGAGGGAGACTTTATGCTGTGTTTCCCAGAGTGGAACCCATATGAAGAAATTCCAGAGTCACCGAGACAGTGCGCAGTAACACTCAAAACATACTCAAAACAGAGTATACTGCAATAAAAATAGCCCAGAGTCAGGAGCCTGGAAGGGATGTCCTGAATATCAGAGAAAAAAAAGGTCAAGAGACTTCCTAGCTCATCGACAAACCCAAGACAGGGGCTACCCTTTCCTGTTCACACCAGAGCATGGTCACCTAAGACACCAGCTTTGATGTCTCGGAGTCAGAAGCAGCTGACTGGGACTGGGAGTGTTCGTGTCTCACATCGAGTGTCAGAACAGTGACTCTGTGCCTCCTGTCACCTCTATTTTACAGCTAATTTTTTTCATCAGGACCCTTCGGAGTCACCTTCCCTGGCTTGTGACTGCCCTCTGAGGGGCTATCAGCTGTGACCAACTAGCTTCTGTCTGAGTGTCCGATTCTCACTGAGCCCACCGGGTTTCCTCAGGATGAAACCATGAGCTTCAGACTCACTGGAGCTCCACTGGGGCTGTGTGTACACAGGCTACTCTCTGTAGATCAGAGTCAGCCTTCCAGGGTCTTCTTCCAGACAGGGCTTCCTTGTACGGTTGCAGTGAGGGCAGGCCACCACCTGTCATCAGCCCATCAAAGTTTAGAGATTGCTCACCTGTTCTGGTAGATTTTCTGGATCCTGGGGCTGTTCAGAACAGGGAGTCAAGCAGAAAAGTCTGGAATGGGTCCACTCTCTTTAGATGAAATAGCCCTCTCCTAGCTCCAAGGCACATGGTTACTTAACTTTTCCGGGCCTCTGCTTATTCATTTGTAAAGAGAGAACAGTGGTAGAGCATGACCTGTGCATGTTCACCCTCTGTCTACCTACCCACACACTCACCCAATAATTTATCCATTCATCCGTCTACCCACCCCTATCTATCTATCTATCTATCTATCTATCTATCTATCTATCTATCTACCCATTCATAAATACATACATACATATGTACACATACACATCTATCCATTCATCCATCTATTCACCTACCCATCCACCCACGCACTCACCTATCCACCTATCTACCTACTTCAACCCCACCTATTTACCTACTCACTCATCTACCTAACCATCCATAAACCTACTCCCACAGTCGTACATCCATTTATCAATCTACCCACTCATTCAACTACCTTTCACCATCCATCCATCCATCCACCCACCCATCCATCCATCCATCCATTTACCCATCCACCCACCCACCCACCCACCCATTTATTCATCCAACCATCCATCTATTCATCCACCCATCCATCCATCCACTCATCCATCCACCCACCCATCCATCCATTCACCCATCCACCCACCCACTCACTCACCCATCCACCCACCCACCCATCATGTTCACCCACTCCCTTACCTATCCATTTACTGCCACATATTCATCTACCCACATACCCATCCACCATCCACTCATCAATCCATATACAAAACCATCCAACATTCAACGATTACATGTTACATGCCAAATGTGTCCCTAGGATAATACCATAAGGCATTTGAGACATATCGTGATTCAAACATAAGCTGTGTCCGTGTGGAACTTCTTCACAAACACAAAACACAAGAATAAATTATATAGATGGTTAAAAAGAAGTCAGTCTGGGCAGGGTGTGCGGTGTGTGTGTGTGCGTGTGTGTGCGTGCATGAGAGAGAGAGAGAGAGAGAGAGAGAGAGAGAGAGAGAGAGAGAGAGAGAGACGTGTTTGCAGGCAGGCGCAGAGGTCAAGGGAGGGAACTGGGTGTCCTGTTCTATCACTCTCCACGTTTTCCCCCAGACAGTCTATGCTGAACCTGGCACTAGGGTGACAGCCAGAAAGCCCCACAGACCCTCCTGTTCCTGCACCCTCAGCACAAGGTTACAGCAGGGAGGGACTTGTATGACTTGGGATATTCAGGGTAGGCTTTGATGACAAGTGATATTTGAAGCAAGAGTTAAAGGACATTTTAAACATTGGTCAAGAGGATTCCTGGGGAAGAGTACTCCGGGCAGAGGAGAGAACAGGCAAAGGTCCTGAGGCAGGCGGTGAGCAGATGCATCTGGGGACACTGGGGACAGGGAGGGGCTGCAGCAGACAGCAGCAGGGATTGAGGCTGGAGAGATGATGAGAACCAGAATGCGGCAGGCCTGTGTGCCGCCATCCAGATTTTCCTCAGCGACGCAGGAGCCATGCAGTGTCAGGGCAGTGGAGGGCCTAGATCATTCCCATGTGAGCACAAACCCGACACCAATGGTTTCCTTTTTGCAACTTTCTTTTGAATTCAGTCAGTGTGCTTTCCTCCCTGTGGAGCCTCCCCTCCCCCATTCTCCATCTCTGTCTGCTCTCTCTCTCTCTCTCTCTCTCTCTCTCTCTCCTCAAACCCCCCACCCCAGTGTGTGTCCTCAATCTGGGACATAGCTGGCTTGGAGGGCAGGAAGAGGGAAAAGGGAACATGCCCCTCTGTCTCCCAGGCCCTGATGATCATACCCTGAGTCCACTTCCATTTTCTGAAGTCACGTGAGATCCAAAACAAAATATTACACCCCCAGGAAGGAAACGGAGTTAAAAAACAGGAACCAGTGTACTCGGAAAGAGGGGATAGCAGCGGCTGAGGTGTGGGCATCAGGGGAGGGAGGGAGCTGCCCTTGGTGGCGGTCAGGAGAAAGAGGGAGACTTGCACTGCTTCCCCAGGTGGAGAACTGCCCCAGTAGGATGACACTGGCCACTTTCACCCTGTTGGAAATCCAGAGAGATGAAAGAGAGTAAAGGTTTCCTACTGTGTCCATGTTCAGAGGAAGAGAATGAGAGCTGTATTCAGCAGAGGAAAGGTACCATCAACTTGGGAATTTATACACAAGAACAGCCAGCCGCACTGATATATAATGCATATACCAAAGCAGAAACATGGAGGAGTCCGGCATTGTCTAGTGTTTCATAGTCGTCAAAAAAACATTAAACACTCCCCGCCCCCATCAGACTCAGGAGCACTTGTCTGTCTTCTAAACTGGCCTCTGCCACTTCCTCCCTTGAAGCATCTAGTTAGCCTCTTCTTTGTGCATTAGATGAGGGACACATGCACTGAAAGGGCTGGGGTGGGTGGGAGACCTAGGAAGTGAGTACGGATTGTTTCACCTGTGCCCTACACACTCTAAGGACTCCTTAGGTACCAATTGCAGGATGTAGCTTTGGAAACGTGATGGGACCAAAGAGGCTGGAATCTGTGGCCCCAATCCTGATACCAAACAGCACACATGGAGAGCAGAAAAAGCTCTGTCTCGGTGAGCATCTCTTTGCTCCTGAGGAGGAAGTCAGACATGCTGAGGGAGAGATCAATGGGAGCAGAGGAAGCGACAATGACTTCTCTCTGGACTTAAGAGGCAGAAGCAGGCTAGGGTGGAGCTCAGTGATGGAGCACACACAAAGACCTGGGTTCCATCCTCAGCACCAAAGGAAGTGAACAAAAGAACACTTGCAGAGGTACCCTAAGACATCAGGACAGGCGGTAAAGGTGCTGATGACATGAGTTCAATCCCTGGAACATACATGGAAGTGTAGCGGTACCCTAAGACACCAGGACAGGCAGTAAAGGTGTTGAGGACCTGAGTTCAACCCCTGGAACACACATGGAAGTGTAGCGGTACCCTAAGACACCAGGACAGGCGGTAAAGGTGCTAATGACCTGAGTCCAATCCCTGAAACACACGTGGAAGGAGAGAATCAACTCCCACAAGTTGTCCTCTGACCTCCCTCATGAAGAAATAAATGTAATTTAAAAAAACAAGACACCCCTTCTCTTTCCTCGTGAACTGGCTTCTATTTCTCCATCTCTCTGTCTCCTGCCAGATTTTCAATTCTTTCCTTCCAGCTCTCCTTTCCTTTTCTCTCTTGGTCCATCTGGGCATCTTTGGCTTTTTTTTTCTCTATCCCTTTGCCAGTCTCCTCTCTCTCTCTCTCTCTCTCTCTCTCTCTCTCTCTCTCTCCCTCTTTTCTTTCTCTCTCTTTCTCTCTCACATACACAAACACACACACACACACACACACACACACACACACACTGCCCTCTGATCTCCAGCTTTTTTGTCCCCTATTTCCATAACCTCCCTTTCCCTACTTTTTTAAACAAGGTCTCATATAGCACAGGCTGCTGTCACTGTACAGCCAAGGATGAGCTTCTAATTCTCCTGATTCCACCTTCCAAGTGCTGAAATTACAAATGTGCACTATTACTTCCCCTTTAAGCAATGCTGGGATCAAACTTAGTACTTTGTGCTTGCTAGACCAGCACTCTACCAACTGAATTACATCCCCAGACGCAGTTTCTCTGTTTTTGACCTGAAGTGACCAATTATACCTCTTTCTGTCTTCCCACTAGATGGTGTGTCTGCTAGAAGCAGGAGTCCTTCTGTCTACCGTGCACCTTGCAGTCCAGTGTTGATGGCTCTTAGGCATGGACCAAGCAGGTAGCCGGCAGTGTCCCCTGAGGATGCTCTGCTCAATATGGGAAGCATGCTACATGCCCTCAGCACTCTGTCACCCAGGGTTCCCAGGAGCTTGCCCTGCATCCTGTCCACGGATTTCTCTTTCAGAAAGGAAAGGACACCTTAGGGCTGGCCACACATCACTGCTCTTGACTCCAAGGGATGCCGGCTTACCTCCATGGCCCCTGTAGCTGGTGGCCCTCTCTACCACTGGGTCCTGCAGCCTGCTACGGACCCAGCTCGAGCAAGCCAAGCCTAAGTCCCCTTTCTCCAGCAGGGTCAGGGAAATCTTCCGGGCCAGAGCTTCGCCATCAGGCTCCCGGAGCAGGGCACAGTGGTATTCCCGTGAGAGCAGCTCTTCTTCCAGCAGGCTGTCCAGGAGGGCCTGAACCTGCCTGGGCTGCTGACTGGAGAGTAGCATCCGCACCTGAGCCAGAATGGCCTGGAAGTGGTTCATGGCAGTGCCCGGGGCAGGCCAGCTGCCTGGAGTCTCCTCTCACCCGGCCTTGCAACATCCAAAACGTGAAGTGAGAGCCAGGATGAGGGAACCTCTGCTGTCAGTGCGGCCCTATTCCTTCTTAGGAATATTTCCTCATTCGTGTGCAGACCAGGGTGCCTGGCGAACGGAAATGAGTTCAGGGTGATTCGGATAGAGATAAGGGAATTTCTGCTTTTCTTTCTGCTTTTAAAAATTTATTTTTATCTTTTAAAAAAAAAGTTGTTTAAGTTTTTCAAGACAGGGCTTCTCTACATATCCCTGGCTGTCCTGGAACTCACTTTGTAGACCAGACTGGCCTCAAACTCACAGAGATCCACCCACTCTTGTCTCCCGAGTGCTGGGATTAAAGTTGTGCACCACCTCCACCCAGCTAAGCTATTTTTTAAAAGTTAGATAAGAATTCCCTGAGGAGTAGGAAAAACTATTGCTGATGGGCACCCCTCCGTAAGTGCCATGCAGGCAGAAGTCTGAAGTTTATCAGCAAACCAGCATAAGACTTCCTGACAGACTCCGTCGAGAGTGAGTGGAGACAGCACACTGCAAAGCTGCACTCAGCTCAGAAAGCCCTTCAGGGCGCCTTAGCTTCAGCTTGACAAGTCCGTTCTGTCGGTTTAGCTCACGAGCTGTAAAAGACCTCACCTTGTCTCAATCGTCGCTCTCCTCTCTTCCCGATTCTCCCTCCCTTTTGAAACTTTGAGGTTTTTTTTTAAAAAAATATTTATTTATTTATTTATTATTATGCATACAATATTCTGTCTGTGTGTATGCCTGCAGGCCAGAAGAGGGCACCAGACCTCATTACAGATGGCTGTGAGCCACCATGTGGTTGCTGGGAATTGAACTCAGGACCTTTGGAAGAGCAGGCAATGCCCTTACCTCTGAGCCATCTCTCCAGCCCCCACTTTTGACACTTTGGGTGGTTCTTCTCCTCTCCGAGTTCCCCATGCAGCACCCGTCCAGCTCAGCCACCCAGGAGCTCCTCAGCTCAACCCTGTTACACACAGGCCATAGACAATGAGCTCTGGTACCAGGCCTGAGAATGAGCCCAGAGGAGGCCCCTCCAGGGAGCTGGCTCCCCCAGCTCAGTGAAGCCTCCTTGCCCTCTACTGTGGTCACTCCTTCGAGATCCCGAGGCAACCAACGCAGAAGTCACTGCTAGAGTGACTGAAGTTTCTGAGACCCCAGTTCTTTGGGTTAACCTTACCTGAACCTGTAACAGTCCCTGTCACACTGCTCCTCGGCTCTGGGTACCTACCACCCGTGTGCAGATGCTCGAGAACCCCCAGTCTGGGGATTCTGTGGGAGCTAAGCCAGGATAGACTGAGAGGAACCTGCCTCTGCGACGTCTCTTAAAGTGATGGATCTTGCTCATGGTTCATCACGGAATGAAGGCCCTGTGGCATCAAAGTTGACTTCAGAACTAAGCTTCCAGGGCTCAAGTCCCAGGCCCTCCATATGCTAATATAATATTCTAGCTAAGTTAGCGAGACCTTTTCTACCTGAAAAGGTGAAATGGTAACCATAGTGCTTAGCATTGGGAGGGTTGAATGAAATATTCGACCCGGGGTTGCCTGCATGCTTTGAAGGCACCTGACACTGGATTGGGGAACCCTTAGGCCACCAGTCATTCCAATGTCACCAAGTTGCTGATGTGCTAAACTAGATTTGCATGGCAGCCAGCCAGTTCTAGGATTTCAAACTGTCCTGGCCTCTGTCTGAAATCAGAGAATGATTTCTGGGCGTAGCTCACCTTCTTCCACCCTTGTGGGTCCATGCTAAAGTCAAGTTCAACTCGTCAGGCTGGGGGCTCTTGTGAGTTCCCCGCCCAGCCTGGGGGTTAAATCACAGCGGACTGCCCATCCCACCTTCCCGAAGCTAACTGTATCTTCCTGTCTTTCCTGCTACTCTCAGCCTTAACATCTCTTCACGGAAACCCTTTGTTTGGCTCTAAGGTGCTGAGTGACTCCCTCGGGACCAAATCCACCACAAATAGCAACTCTAAACTTGAGGAACTATAGATAAAAAATTTCTGCAGCAGGGGAGAGACACTGAGGGGCAGATACCGGCAAGGTGTTGGTCCATGGTACTGCAAATATCAGTGATGAATTCTCCTGGTTATGAGGTCACCCTGAAGGCAGATCCCAACCAGTGCTGCTGGGGTCTAAAATTAAAAGAAGAAGAAGTAGCTCACTTGGCAGAGCGCTGGATGGCTTTGCGTCTATAATACCTTGGTTTTAATCCCCAACGCCACATAAACTAGGTGTGGTGGTACAACTCCACAATGGAGTAGAAGCGGGGTGGTCAGGTGACTCCAAGCCTAGCCCAAGTTATACGAGACTGCATAAAAAGACAGAAAAAAGAAAAAGGGAAATTCTATTTCTCTGAAACTCTGAATTAATGGAACACAAACACAGAATTGAGGTTGGAACCATCATGGTGGCACACATCTGAAATCCCAGTAGTGGGAAGAAGGACACAGGACTATCAAGGCTAGCCTCAGCTACCTAGTGAGTTCACATCCAGCCTGGAATGAGACACCATCTTTAAAAAAAAAAAAGTAGCTGGAAAGTGGAGTGGACACAGAGAAGGGTAACATGAATGTCTCCAAGCTTTGTGGATAAACTTCTCAGACATCTAGCATGTATATTGCACAACAATATCTAATACTCTCAGTCAAAATGCTTCCAGAGAGATTTAACTGAGGAGGGAAGGGCTGGCCTGAATGTGGACAGCACCACCCCATGGGCCAGGGGCCTGGGTTGAATAAACAAACAAGAAAAAGGAAGCTGAATACCAGTCTCTCTCTCTCTCTCTCTCTCTCTTTCACACACACACACACACACACACACACACACACACACACACACACATGATGCACCTCATCCTTCCCTGAAGGATCGCTTTTGTCTGGTATTTTACAGCTTCATAAAAAAGGCAACCAATACAGACACAAAGCAGCCAAGCGGCTGAAAGGTACAGCTAGGGAAAGGTGTGACAACTGCAAACTGAAATAGTACAATCCACGTGGGAAAACCTTCCGGAGGGAAGGGCCCGGGAAAGGAGCTCCTAGCCTGGAGAGTGTGCTCAGCCTCACTTCCTTAGCTGAGACTTTAGAACTGGTCCTTGGCTGATTATAACTTCACATATGTCTAAAGCCATAGCCAGCTGAGTCACATGAAATCACTGATATTCATCTTGATTTATATATAAAAAAGGGGGTTTCCAGGGATTGGAGGGATGGATCAACAGTTAAGAGCATGTTCTGCTCTTGCAGAAGACCCGAGTCCAGTTTTCAGCACCCACACTGGGGAGGCAGCTCACAACTGTTGTCTGTAACTCCAGGTTCTGGAGATCTGACACCTTCTGACCTCTACAGACACTTGCACTCACACGCACATATCCACAGATACACATAAATAAAATTTTAAAAAATAAAGATTTGTTTAAAACTGTCATTCCATTTTGTGAGACCCAAATGGTTGTGGTGGTGATGATGATGATGGTGGTGGTGGTGATGGTGGTGGTGATGATGATGGTGATGGTGATGATGGTGATGGTGGTGATGATGGTGGTGGTGATGGTGGTGGTGATGATGATGGTGATGGTGGTG